TTCATGCTTATTTCTAAATGCACCTAAAACTCTAAGACTCTCTACAATGACTAGAAAACGAGTGAAACTATAACATCACAATAGACTGACAGTTGAGTAATTAATAAGGAAGTAATTGTTAGTTATACTCTTTAAAATTCTTTTTTTGGGTGTTTCTTTTGGGGGGAGGTGCGGGGTTATTCCTATGTCTAATGAACGATGGGGAAAAGATTCATATATTCTAAGGTCAGAAGAGATCGCTGTGATCACCCAGTCTTACCTCCTGTGTAACACAGGCTGGAGGAATTCCCAAAAATAATGCTTTTTTGAACTAGAGCATATCTTTTAGAAACAAAATATCTAATCTTAATTTAAAAAAATGCGAGTCATGGAGAATCCATCACAACAATTGGTAAATTGTTCCAATGATTAGTTATCCTAACTATTAAAAATTCATGCCTTATCTCCAATCTGAATTTGACTAGATTCAACTTCGAACCATTGGCTTTTGTTATGTCTTTAGTATGTTAGCTTTTTTGATTGTCTCTGCACATTATGTAGATAGCTTTAGAGAACTGTCCACAAGTCCAAGATATCTTTCTTGAGTGGTAACAGTGAATTTAGACCCCATCATTTTGTATGTTTATGGGATTATGTTTTCCAATGTTAATTACTTTGCCTTTATCACCTTTGAATTTCATTTGCCACTTTGTTGCCCAGTCACCCAGTTAGTGTGAGATCCCTTTGTAAGTCTTTGCAGTCATCTTTGAACTTAACTATCTATCTTACTATATTACAAAACAAATTAGTCTGTAAAACCCATTGCCAAAAGATATTATTGAACTGAAGGCTTAGTAACATTGGGGAAAAAGAGGATTAGACTAGGGGCCAGCACATCCCTCGGCCCGCGCCGCTTCCTGAAACTCCCATCGGCCTGGAGCAGCGAACTGCAGCCAGTGGGAGCTGCGATCAGATAAACCTGTGGATGCAGCAGGTAAACAAACTGGCCCGGCCTGCCAGGGTGCTTACCCTGGCGGTGCTTACCCTGGCGGGCCGCGTGCTAAAGGTTGCCGGTCCCTGGATTAGACGTTTATATGGATAGTGAGATTATTCAAAGGTACATTTTTCTAGGTTGTAAAGAAGTACATGGGATATAAACCCTTCCATTTCTGGGCAAAGAATCATAGATAATCAGAGTTGGAAGGGACCTCAGGAGGTCATCTTGTCCAACCCCCTGCTCAAAGCAGGACCAATTCCCAATTAAATCATCCCAGCCAGGGCTTTGTCAAGCCTGACCTTAAAAACCTCTAAGGAAGGAGATTCCACCACCTCCCTAGGTAACCCATTCCAGTGGCACAACACCAACAGAGACCAACACCTACAAGATCTTCACCAAGCATTCTCAAAACTACGATACCCACACAAGGAAATAAAGAAACAAATCAACAGAGCCAGACATGTACCCAGAAGCCTACTGCTACAAGACAGGCCCAGAAGAGAAACCAACAGAACTCCACTGGCCATCACCTACAGTCCTCAGCTTAAACCTCTCCAACGCATCATCAGTGATCTACAACCCATCCTGGACAATGATCTCTCACAGACCTTGGGAGGCAGGCCAGGCCTCGCCCACAGACAACCTGCCAACCTTAAGCATATTCTCACCAGCAACCACGCACCGCACCATAACAACTCTAACTCAGGAACCAACCCATGCAACAAACATCGATGCCAACTCTGCCCACATATCTACACCAGCAACACCATCACAGGACCTAACCAGATCAGCTACAACATCACCGGCTCATTCACCTGCACGTCCACCAATGTTATATATGCCATCATATGCCAGCAATGCCCCTCTGCTATGTACATTAGCCAAACTGGACAGTCACTCCCCCAGACGATAAATTGACATCATACGGGCATCAGGAATGGTAATTTACGAAAGCCTGGAGTG